TCCAGCCCTGCACCTTGTTGTCTCGGATTCTCCAGCATCTGCAGTTCCTACTATCTCTTGATCTTACTAATGTCGATCTTGCTTTGCGCACCTCCTGTGCAGTTGTAACCTGTTTCCTAGCTCTGTCTAAGCGCCCTATAATCTGTATGTCCTTTTTTGCTGTGATCGGCCTGTACTGCTTACAAAACAAAGCCTTTCACTGTACTTGGGTACATGTGACTGCAATAAATCAAATCAAATCAAACCAAATCAACTCCATCTGCTGCAATTTTGCCCATTCACTCAGTATGTCAATATAAGAACATAAGAACTAGGAGCAGGAGTAGGCCGTCTGGCCCTTCGAGCCTGCTCCGCCATTCAATAAGATCATGGCTGATCCTTTCGTGGACTCAGATCCACTTACCCGCGTTCTCATTGTATCCCTTAATTCCTTTATTGTTAAAAAAAATCTACCTTTTTTTTAAAAGCATTTACTGAAGTAGCGTCAACGACTTCACTGGGCAAGGAATTCCACAGATTAACAACCCTCTGGGTGAAGAAATTCCTTCTCAGTTCAGTCCTAAATCTGCTCCCTCTAATCTTGAGGCTATGCCCTCTTGTCCTAGCTTCTATCCTTTTGTAATCTTGTGCTGTCATCTATGCTGTCTACAATGCTGCCTAACTTTGCGTTATCAGCAAGTTTGGATGAATGAGTTTCTATGCTACAATCCAAATAATTAATAAATAATGTGAAATTAGGAAATAGTGTACAATTCAGGCCCTAATACAGTTCCTTGTGGTATATCACTGGCCACATTCTGCTAATTTGAATTCCTATCCTCAATTCTGTAGGCTTCTACTTTCGTTAAGTCTATTATATGAGACTTTATCAAATACCTTCTGGAAGTCCGTATAAACTTCATCCAAAACATTCCCCTGTCCTCTATCTTAATTAGTTATTCAAAAAGTTCACTGAGGTTTGTCAGGACTGACCTACCTCTCATGAATCCATGCTGGCTCTCCCTGATTAACTGAAAATTTTCAAGGTGTTAAGTTATCCCATCCTTGATTATAGACTCCAACAATTTCCCCATTACAGGCAAACTAGTCTGAAATTGCCTGATTTTCCTCTTTCACCCTTAAAAGCGAGTGACATGTGGAACATTATATTCCAGAGGGACAACTGCTGTATCTGTGTAATCCCCTGTTTCCTTTAACACTCGGAAAAAACCTGACAGATCCCAGGGATTTAACGCCCTAATTCCATTAATCTCATTGCTAATTTTTACATAATTAATTTTATTCAGTTTAATGACTATTAATTTTCTTGGGATTTCCGGCAAGCTATCCTCTCTTTCTACTGTAAGTACTGAGGCAAAGTAATTATTCAATATGTCTGCCATTTCCCCATGGTAATTGACAATATCCATACTTGCAGTCTTTAGTGGGCCAACATTACTCCTGACCACATGATTTTCCTTTATGTAATTGAAATTCCTTCTTATTGATTTTGAAACTGAGAAAGTTTCCTTTCATGATCCTTTTTAGTAACTCTTATTAGCCACTTTGTGGCCCTTTACTGGTCTTTGTATCTTTTCCATTCAGTAGGATCTGTGCTGTTTTCAGTGTTTGTAAGCCCTTTCTTCTATGCTGTAACTTAGCTTTTATAGTTGTCCATGGCTTCTTTTTGTTTTTCCCACTAGGGGTATAAAAGTTTTGTATTGTTTTAAATGTATTTTTAAAAATCTTCCACTGTCCTTGAGTTAAATAGCAGATTATCTCAATTTACTGTGGACAGTCTCAGTAGCATCTCTTTAAAGTCAGCCTTACCTAAATTTAAAACCCCAATAGCTCATTTATGCTTTGCGCAGTCAAAGCTGCATTGAACTCAATTATATTATGATCACTATTGGATAAATGTTCACGGAGAATTAGATTACTAATTAAATCTGGCTCATTATTAAATCCACAATTGCTTGTTCCGTTGTTACTTCCAGAAATGGGCAGTTTAGCATGGCCAATCGACCTTATCTGTACATCTTTGAACTGTGGGAGGAAACTACAGTACCCAGCGGAAACCAGTGCAAAATTGGAGATAATGTGCAAATTCAATGCACACAATCGTCTGAAGGTGAAATCGAATATGGATCCCTGTCTCTGTGAGGCAGCAGTGCTAACCACTGAGCCACCATGCCACTCTTCATGCGTTACACTCTGTGCATTCTAATATAGGACTCTATTTTGACCGTACACTGTCACCTGTGCTTCAGCACTGATGCTGTATTCACGTTTATTACTTCTTTCTTCCAGTTTCATCAATATACTTCATATAGTTTTGCCATTCCCTGTTGTACCTGAAGTAGGATTCCTGACTGTTTCTTCACTCTGTCATGTTATTTGATTTTGAAACTGGATTGAGCCCCCAACTGTCCACCAATTTACTAGGTTAGAGTTCTGAACACCACCCTATTTAGCCTCTTGACTAGGACATTGGTCCCAGATTGGTTCAGGTGGAGCCTTTCACAACAGTAAGGTCCCAAAGCTGATGTTTGTGCCCCACACAATGGAACAATTTTACCCTACTCCTTTAGCCACGTGTTTACTTCCTTAATTTTCTTATTTCTATGCCAATTTGCATGTGGCTCGGTTAGTAATCCAGATATTCTAACCCTTGAGGTCTTATCCTTTAACTTTATTCCTAATTCTAATAATCCCTAAACGGTACCTCTTGCCTACTTTTACCCACATTCTTAGTCCCAACATGGACCGCAGCAACTAGGTCCTTCCCCCTCCCACTTCAATACCCTTCAAGTCAATTCGAGATGTCCTTTACCATGGCATAAGGCAGGCATCACACCATGCGGGACTCTCGATCCAGCTTAAAAAGGATGCTAAATATACCCCTAATTATAGAATCCCTACTACTACCACTTTTTGATTTTGCTCATTCTGCTCTAGTGGCCTACAAATACCTACCTACTTGGCTCCTGCAGTGCTAAATTCAGGATCCCTGTACATGTCTCACTTGTAGTCACACCTTCCTGACCCTGAACACTGACCAAATTTGAAGTACTTAAGCTGCAGTGTGTGACTGCCTCCTGAAACACAGTATCCAGTTAACTCTTCCCTCTCCCTGATATGCTGCAGTTTTTGAAGGTCCAACTCCAACTTATCAACTCTGAAATGGAGTTCCTTGAGCAACCAATACTACCTAAGATATTAGTTTGTTTTTAAAGAGCAGAAGTATTTCCCCATGAGAGAAAAACAGGGACTCATCACCACCTCCTTCTTTGACCTAACTCCCTGTTTCACCAAACTGCAGTTACACTCTAATGCAACAAAGCAGCATTCCAGTGTAGAACCTTCCCCTTTGACAAGAGTGTATGACGAGTGTCCCTCCACCTGCCTACTTGCGAGTTTCTGGCCTTTGCAGTGTTCACATGCACCCATCTTGCTGTCCTACGAAAATAACATTTTCAAGGGATGATTGAAAAGAATGGGCTAAGTGCTTGGTTTAAAGAATCATCTTACTGGAGGAAATGAGGGGCCTTAAACAGCTGAAGCCATGGCTGACAGTTATAGGGATTTAATTCTGCATGAACCAGAAGTCCAAATCAGGACCTTCTTAACCTCCGAGGCAGAATCTTTCTGGAATATGTAGTTAACTGCTGAGTTGCTGTGATGTTCAAAATGGAAGAAATTATTATTTATAATAATTAAATCTTGAGCCTCCTGTATCAGTCCTTGTATCAATTGACATTTGTTATTTATTCAGGCACAAAAATTTTTTTTAATGAAATTGTCTGTTGCTGTGATCACTTTAAATCTGTACCATATAATTGCTCTATTATTGAAATTAATGCTGGGATCAGTTAAAAGATCAAACTACCATTGAGAAACTGAATTAGAAAATGCAGAAAACATTCAGCAGATCAGATAGTACATGCTGATATTGAAAGAGTTAAATCGTAACTCTTTCACAAGTAAATTAAGAAATATTTTATAATTGTTTTGCAACTATACTATAGGGTCACTGGATTTGAAATGTTAACTCTGCTTTCTCTTCACAAATACTGCCAGACCTGCTGAGAAATTTCTGTTTTTATTTGTTTCAGATTTCCTGCATCTGCACATTGTTCAATTTATGTAGGGGCTTCTTAGGCTATCTCAAAGCTCTGCTTAACATGGAATTGAGGGCAGTCTCCCTGAATTTAATTTCATAATTTTACTGTATATGCTAATGAAGTTAAATTTCACTAACTTGGTTTTCATGTTTTTTAGGGTCAAAATGAAGGGAAAAAAAAGACAGAAGTTTTTTCTGTCTTCAAAATCCCAACGGAAGAACGTTCAAGTTGTTGGACAATGGAAGCCAGTGAATATAGACCCAGCCCTCCTCGGTGATGAAGATTTTGGGAATCTGGTTTGTTTTGAAGAGCTTACAGACTATCAGTTGGTTAGTGCTGGCAAGTTGACAGATGAAGAAACAAGAAAAAGGAAGTCTGATAATTTGGAGGTGTCAGAATGTTCAGAGAAGCAGAAAATTAGTGGTAATGATTTACCAGAATTGGTACAAGCCAGAAAGAAAAAGATGAAAAAAATGGTCACTGTTGACCACGCTGGGGATGAAGTGGGCATTACTGACTTCTCTGAAGATATGAATCAGCTTGAATTTTCAGATAAAAATGAAACAGCAGAGGCAGAAACAAATGTTACTGCAGTTTCAAAGAAAAGGAAGAGGAAGAAAAAGAAGTCTGTAGTTTCTCAGTCCTCCACACCAGCCATGAAAGTGAAAAATTGGACAATGCATCATTCCTGTTCATCTGAGCAGACAACTGATGTTTCTGCCTGGAAAGACCTGTTTGTCCCAGAACCAGTACTCCGTGCCCTTAGTTCTCTTGGTTATACTGCTCCTACTCCCATCCAAGCCCTGGTACTGCCACCTGCTATTAGAGACAAATTAGATATTCTTGGTGCTGCAGAAACAGGTTAGTGCAACAATTCTGTTACAGTACAGTATAAGGTTAGTAATAAACCACAAATGTTGGTGTCTGCCGGTTACTGATGTATCCAAATGGTTCCATTTTGGTTTAAGTCTTCATTTTGATATGAAGTTATAAATGAAAAATCATCATCTTTTGAAGGACATGAAATGACTGCTTTTATATAGTTTTTTTTTTATGACTTCCATTGTCCTATAACCAATGAAGTACAGTCATTGTGTCATTGGCCGTATTTATTGTGAACACTACCACTATGTGGAGCAACGAGTATGAATGTGCAGGAACACATCTTTGCATTGTGATGTATCTGCTCAGCAGTGCAGTGACAGCTGCCTGTCACAAAAATGGCACTGCCAGAAACAAAATCGCAACCTGTGAGACCAACCTGCACTGTTGCCCACACCCCTGCCCCCAACTGAATTGACACAAACAATTGGGAGAGGGTGCAAGAGCAGGAGGCCAAGATGGCACAAGGGATTTTTTTAAAACCTAATTTGCATTAAATAAAGGTGGGATAGTCATCATTCTCCAGCACTGACATCACTGTACAAAGAAGGTAGTTATGTCAGCAGCACATACACAAATGAATACTAAATGTTGCCGTGGCCAGCATTGTGTGCAACAGTGGCCATTTTGGCATTCAAAGTAATTACTTTACATGTAGTTAAATACAGTAGTTGCTTTGCCATCAGCAAGGTTACACAACCAGCATATGAGATAACGGACCACATAATCTATTTGGGTAGTGGTGCTTCAAAACTTGGAGAACCCCTGGCTGTTTTTATTTTCAAATCATGCCATGGGATTGTTTATACCCAGCTGAGTAGGCAAATAAGGCCTTGGTTAAGTGTCACACTGAAAAATGTCACCTCAAATGGTGCAATATTCTGTGTTACTTTGAAGTATATATCATGTGCTCAGGTACTAATGTACAGCTTGAACTTCCAACATGCTACCGCTGAATGAGTAAAGCTGATATCCCAGTGCATAATATAAAAGCTTACTTCCTCAAAACAGTCACGCGTCCAACTCCTTCATTTCAGCATTGAATCCTTGTAAACTTTGAAATAAATTGAGGGAATTTTACTTTTAAAGACAGCCAGTATACCCATGGGAAAAGTTGGTAAGTGCAATTAAAATGCTTAAGTGCTGTAACTTTGACAACACTTGGTGGGTTTGAAGAACTGCCTGGCCAGTTATAATGTTACTTCCAGTGAAATCCTACTTGACACTATTGTTGTGTCAAAGAACAAAGAAAATTACAGCACAGGAAAGGGCCCTTTGGCCCTCCAAGCCTGCGCCGATCCAGATCCTCTATCTAAACCTGTCGCCTATTTTCCAAGGATCTGTATCCCTCTGCTCCCTGCCCATTCATGTATCTGTCTAGATACATCTTGCCCGCCTCTACCACCTTTGTTGGCAATGCATTCTAGGCACCCACCACCCTCTGCGTAAAGAACCTTCCACGCATATCTCCCTCAAACTTTTCCCCTCTCACCTTGAAACTGTGACCCCTAGTAATTGAGTCCCCCACTCTGGGAAAAAGCTTCTTGCTATCCACACTGTCTATACCTCTCATGATTTAGTAGACCTCAATCAGGTTCCCCCCTCAACCTCCGTCTTTCTAATGTAAATAATCCTAATCTACTCAACCTCTTTTCATAGCTAGCGCCCTCCATACCAGGCAACATCCTGGTGAACCTCCTCTGCACCCTCTCCAAAGCATCCACATCCTTTTGGTAATTGGCAACCAGAACTGTACGCAGTATTCCAAGTGTGGTCGAACCAAAGTCTTATACAACTGTAACATGACCTGCCAACTCTTGTACTCAATACCCCGTCCGATGAATGAAAGCATGCCGTATGCCGCCTTGACCATTCTATCGACCTGCGTTGCCATCTTCAGGGTATAATGGACCTGAACACCCAGATCCCTCTGTGCATCAATTTTTCCCAGGGCTTTTCCATTTACCGTATAGTTCGCTTTTGAATTGGATCTTCCAAAATGCATCACCTCGCATTTGCCTGGATTGAACTCCATCTGCCATTACTCCGCCCAACTCTCCAATCTATCTATATTCTGCTGCATTCTCCGACAGTCCCTTTCACTGTCTGCTACTCCACCAATCTTAGTGTCATCTGCAAACTTGCTAATCAGACCATCTATACCTTCTTCCAGATCATTTATGTATATCACAAACAACAGCGGTCCCAGCACGGATCCCTGTGGAACACCACTAGTCACAGTTCTCCATTTTGAGAAACTCCCTTCCACTACAACTCTCTGTTTCCTGTTGCCCAGTCAGTTCTCTATCCATCTAGCTAGTACGTTCTCTTAACCATTCTGTACCCAAGTTGGGAGTTATTCATTACGTACATGTTTAACTTACTACAGAAAGCTTCATTTTTAAAAATTCATTTGTAGGATGTTGGCATCACTGGCTGACCAGCATTTATTGTCTGTCTCTGGTTGCCCTTGAGAAGGTGGTGATGAGCTGCCTTCTTGAACCGCTGCAGTCCACATCCTGTGGGTTGACCTACAACGGCCTTAGGGAGAGAATTCCAGGATTTTAACCCAGCAACAGTGAAGGAACGGTGATTATATTTCCCAGTCAGGAGGGTGAATGACTTGGAGGGGAACTTGAAAGTGGTGATATCCACCAGCACCTTTGACTGACTTACTTAATTATAATACTTATGGATTTACTAGAAGTGAACAACTTTCCCCATTTGAAGACTGATCATAGTCTCCCTACGTTGCTGATAGAAGTAATTCAGTCCTTCAAGTCTGCACCATCCTCTGAAGACCATCTCACCCAGATGCATAACCCCATATTTACCATAGTCAACCCACCTAGCTTGCACATCCCTCAACATTATGGGACAATTGAGCATGGCCAATCCACCTAACCTGTACATCTTTAGACTGTGAGAGGAAACCACAGCACCTGGAGGAAACCCACACAGACACTGGGAGAACATGCAAACTCCACACAGACAGTCACCCAAGGCTAGAATTGGACCTGGGTCCCTGATAATGTGGGGTTGCAGTGCTAACCACTGAGCCACGATGATAGCTTCAAATATAAAATTCACTAGTTTTTCCAACCATTTGCAGAGATTGCTCAAAGTCAGGGATGGGAATGAGCATCATTTTTCTTTTGGGGATAGACAGCATTTATATCATGAAATCAGTTGTCAACGTAACACACTGAGCAATAGCATTTTCACATGATTCCGTAGGTCAAACTCCACTCTGCACAGTAGTTGTGCACATAATCTCGACTAATATCTGGTACGACACCAAGAGAATGCTACACTGTTTGATTTAGCCCTTATTTCAAGGGAGTTAGAGTATAAGAGTAGGGAAGAATACTACAACTGTACAACATGCTGATAAGACCACATCTGGATACGCTGAGCAGTTTTGATCCCCTTATTTAAGGAATCATTTCATTGGAGACAGTTCAGAGAAGGCTCCATAGAATGATCCCCGATATTGTGGGATTGTTTGATGAGCAAATGTTAAATAGGTTGGATGTTAGATCTCTATCTCTTAGTGAGAGTCTGAGTCCAGTGGTAGATCAAGTACAGCTTTATTTTGGTACAACTTTGTTACATCTTCAGATTTTCTTCGCAGTAAGGCACACAAAAACTTCAGATTGTATACAGTTAAAACTTAAGAGTGTACACACCCCACCCTTGATACTATTGGTCGGCGGAGCTAGGTTATTCGTCTGTGGTTGGATCTCTGGAACAGTATCTTAAAGAGATGGACAGGCTGGTGGTCTACCCACGGTCATGATGTTTTCACAGACTTTATTGATAAGAGGGGGCCACTTCTATTGCTTGAAATTAGTTTGAATCTTTTCTTTTGGTGATTTTTTTTTTTGTATATATGTGGATCTTTAAGTATCTCAGAATCTATCTATATGAATATCTGAAGGATCTGAACTAAAACTTACTATTAATATTGTAACAGATGGATTAAATAACTCAAGAGAAACAACTACTGTGTAAAACGTTCTTACCTGTATAAGAAATTGCATCTGTGCATTCTGTCTCAACCAGTAACCTTGATTCTTATAGAGCTGCTATTGTCCTACTTGCTACATTCAGCAAATATATTCCCACACACTCTTAACTACTGTAGCCACGTACTGCAGAGATTGTCACAATCAGTGGTCAGCCATTTTGTGCCGCCTTGTCATGGGCAGCACTAACATTGTGACTGTACTCGTTGAAGTTTAAAATAATGAGGTGATTTCATTGAAATAAACAGGATTCTTCAAGAGCTTGACAGGATAAATGCTGAGAGGATGTTTCTCCTCATGGGAGAGTCTAGGACCAGAGGACATAGTCTCAAAATAAAGGGGTGCCAATTTAAAACTGAGATGAGGAGTGTCTTCTGAGGTTTGAGAGTCTTTGGAACTCTTTGACATACAGAAGTGTGGGGCAGAGTCCATGTGAATATTTAAAGCTGAGATAGATTCTTCATTGTTAGGAAAATCACGTTATGGGGAAAGGGCAGGGAAGTGGGTGTGAGAAGTGTTGGATCAGCTGTGATCCAATTGAATGGGGGAACCAGGCTCAATGGGCTGAAGGCCTACCCCTGTTCCTATTTCTTATGATCTTATGGTGCTATCTTTCAGTTGAGACATTAATCTATATGTTGACTGAGTGGATAGAAGTGATCCTAGCTCATCATATGGAGAAAAACAGCTGGTTAATTTTGTCTTTTTTGGAGATGAGCACTAATATATCAGTGGTATAAGATTAATATAAAATACATTTAGGAAAACAACAAAGGCTTCCTTTCCTCCTCTTCTCCATGCATCTCCTCCACCCCCCAAAAAAAATTCTCTGCTGCACTCAAATCCAGGTTGTATATATGAAAGATTGGTGTCTTTCTAACTGCTAAAATTTGAATCTCTGCAGCAAACTCATTTTGGTTTCAAAATGGACTGTCTTGAGGAATGTTGTGCAGACATTATTTGTTAGCTATGTGACTGGGGTAATGCTCCCTAGTTAACTAAGTCAATGACCATTTCTACTGTAAAGATTGAGATTTCATTCATCTGATCTGTTTGATAAGTAATTACTAATTGGTACTTTGGTTGATAATTATCTCATCCAAAATCTGTCTTAAGTTTATGTTAAATATTACTCTACACTAAGTTCAGTTAATGCTCTGAATCCCATCTTGTGATTTTTTTTCTAATTTGGTAAAACTGTCCAAAAAATCGGGTACATAACATTAATATAAATCTTGGTTGGTATGTACATTTCTGCTTTTTTCCAGTTGACCATATCCTTGTTTCATGATTTTAAATGAGATTTCCCACAGTAACTATTATCATGACATTAAAAAGTAGTACTGATTGGTATAAGCCTCAACAACTTTAAGTTTTTGCTGTATCTGAGTAAATTCAAATGAACTTGTAAAATATATGCATCACTATTGTATTAAAGTGATTTTCTGATGTGCTCAACAAAACATAACAATTTGGGATTCTTGATTATAAATGTACAAGGTTACATTTATGAATTTTCATGTTTTTGAAGTGATGGCTTAAGCTGAATTAGATGACTCTTTTCGGATATATTTTTTATGTTCTTATCTTAAAGGCAGTGGTAAAACACTAGCATTTGCTATTCCCATGATCCACCTTATCCTAGAGTGGAGGAAGGCTAAAGATGCTAAATTGAAAACAAGTGAGGAAGTACAGCACGGCATCCAGGATACTAATGATGCAGTCAGTGATAGACTGGAAAACACTGGTGAACACCTGGAGGAATACGAGGAAGCAGATGGGATTGACGAGAATCCTGCATGTCATAATGAAAGCTCTGTAAAAGTGATCAACAATGTAAATTTAGATCTTCATGCAGCTTCCAATATTGAAAATCCATTATTGGGCCTTGTTTTGACTCCAACAAGAGAATTAGCTGTCCAGGTAAAGCATCATATTGATGCTGTTGCCAAATTCACTGGTAAGTGTGCAATAACTATGGAAAAACTTCACAGTATGCTGGGGTGTAGTAATTTGCTCAGACTTAATCTCTGAACTGGTAGGGGAATGATGTAACTGTTCAAATTTTGTGTTTTACAGAACTATATTACAGACATTATTAAGTACCTATAGTTGTTCTATTTAACACTATTTTCTTCCCATGTGGTAGTTACTGATATTTAGAGTAGATTAATAGCAGTAATCCAGTTACAAGACAGTAATACTTTTTGTCAAGACTCACTCTTCACTCTTTGTTTCTTACGAGATACTCAGAAATGTTATAACATGAAACAAAATTTCACTACAGTATCCATCATACTTCATTCCTCATTTTATTTTGGTTCATAAATGGAGGCTAAAAAGCTATGGAAGCAATAGTTCTATTTTTACTATCTCTTTCATTTAATGTATGCAAACAATTAAAACTTTCTTGCAAGAATTGCCTTGTCACATTTTGTTGACATAGGAGGAGAGAAAGGATAGTAAATTTGAAGAAATGTTGAGATGTGGCTGCTGGGATTAACAATTGCAAGCATGTTATGTTAATTTCATATCAAATACCATTGTTACTTATGGAACATTAATATTACGCTGTAATGTTGCATGAGAATTATAGGTCAGAGTTGATCACTGTTAGTTCTTAATCTCAACCATTCAATTAAGACTGGCATTCTCCATTTCCTTTGGAGATTGATGGGAAAAGAAAGCCAACAAGTAAATAAACTTTATCCATTCTACTTCTTTTACTTTGGTTAATGCCTACCGGTCTACTTCTCCACTATAGAAATAGATTGTTCTTTAAAGAAAACAATCGTGAGAAGAAATAAAAGTCAGATTCAAGTTAGGGTAGTACTGGAATGAAACTGATTCTGTATGCTGTACATGTACCGTTGTAGCTTTCAGATTGCATCCAATGCAGTTTGAAAGCTACGACTTACATGGAAGCATCAATTTTTCCACTCTAATTTTGTGAGTCAATGTAAACAGCAGGAAATTCAGCACACTTCCACTCACATTCAGGTCTTGATTTAATTGTGTAAAAACAGGCTATGTTTTGGACGGGATATATAAAAAGGCAAAAAATGACCAAAAATTAATTAAGAAAAATATAGAGTACAAGATAAAGCTAGCCAAGAATAATAGGACAGATAATTTGTGTTTTTATAATTAAAGAAGAGTTGAATAGAATAGAATATCCTTTATTGTCACATGTAGTCCATTGAAAAAGTACAATGAAAAGCTTTTATAATGTCTGCCTCTTATGGTGCCATCTTAGGTACAAATCTTTCTAGACTCTCTACAATGTGGAAACACGCCATTCAGCCCAACAAGTCCACACTGACTCTCCGGATAGCATACCAGACTCACCTCCCCATCCTCTCTCTGTAACCCTGCATTTCCCATGCCTAACCCACCTAATCTACATATCCTGAACACTGGGCAATTTAGCATGGCCAGTCCACCTAACCTGTACATCTTTGGACTATGGAAGGAAATCGTAGCACCTGGACGAAACCCACACAGACATAGGGAGAATGTGCAAACTCCGCACAGAACCCGGGTCCCTGGTGCTGTGAGGCAGCAGTGCTAACCACTGAGCCACCATGCTTGGATCTTGGAAACAAAAGGGGAATAAAGAGTAGTTGCACTACTTTACAGGGTTTTAAAAAAAAGTTAGAAATAAGACATCATTAAAAGATTGACGTTATAGTTAGGTAAAAAAAGTTTCAAATAAACATTACATTGTAGCAGCTCAGTACAGGGCGCCCACACATGTCATGACCACCTATGCCAGACTCCAATCCCATAGCCACCCACGCTCCACTCCAAGCCTCCAGTTCCCTCCATGCTAGCACTAGGCTTCTCCAAGGTAAGTTCCAGGACTGCCTGCCCCGTGCCGGTCTCTGCCCAGGACCTGCTGCTTATGCACTGCTTCGGGACTGGCTCCCCTCAAGTTGCTGCAGGACTAGTTGCCCACATGCTGCTCTGGAGCTGCTTCCCCACGAGCTGCTTCCCCACAAGCTGCTCCACAGCTTGCAGCCCGCGCGCTGCTCTGGGAATTGCCTCCGGGGCTAAGGGGAGAGATAAAGAAAAGAAGAGAGAATAAAAGAAAAAGAACAGGCAGAGCAGAGGAGCTCGGGCACAAACATCTTATTCTGCCGCCATCTTGCTGGCAAAAGAATATAGGTAACATCCCACAAACAGCGATAAATCAGGAAATGGGAGGGAAAAACTCTGGTGGGGGAGCAGCTGAGCTTGAAGTCACAATCCGTAGATACTGAGTAAACTGTCCAAACTGTGGCTGATACATACCTAGATCTTGATGGATTTTTTTTATACTTACTCATGGGTCTTGGGTGTTCCATTTATTGCCCATTTATAGCTGCCCTTGAACTGAGTGGTTTACTAGGCAGTTTGCTGTGGTTTTTGGAGTCATGTGTAGGCCAGACCAGGTGAGGATGGCAGATTTCCTTCCCTGAAGCCAGATTAGTGTGCTAGATGGGCTTTTCCAACAATTGGCATGGTTTCATGGTCCTCAGTAGATTCTTAATTATATATTTTTGATATTATATATTATATATTTTTATAATGTATTATATATTTTTTGTATTATATATTAGATTTTTTGATTGAATTCAAATTCCCCCATATACTTTGGGGATTCAAACCTGGGTCTCCAAAACATCAGCTGAGGTTCTGAATGAATAGTCATAGGGACAAAACATCTAGACCATCACCTCCACACTAAAATTTCATCCTAGTGAGACAGTGAATGTGTTGGTTTCAATTTTCCACAATTCCCTAGATTTGGGGACAGTCCTATTAAATGGGGAGTTGGAAATATAACTCCTTTATTCAAAAAAATGTGTTGTGTAGGGGAAGGCAAAAAGCGGTAAACTAATAGTCCGGTTAGCTTAATATCTGTCATAAGGAAAATATTGTAAACTATTATCAAAGAAGTCATACAGCGCACTTGGATAGGTTCAGGATAATTAGGTAGAGTCAACATTGCTTTGTTAAAGGGAAATTGTGTTTGGCCAACCTGGAGCTCTTTTCAGGGGATAATCTGCTGTGGTTAAACAGGAACCAGTGGATGTCCTGTACTTGGGTTTCCAGAAGGCATTTGATAAATGGCCCCATCAAAGGTTATTTGTGAAAGTAAAAGCTCATGATGTAGGGTAGCATATTGTCATCCATAGTAGACGGGCAAACTCACAGGAAGCAGAATGTAGATATAACGAGTTCTTTTTTAGGTTGGCAAGATTTAATGAGTGCGGTGATCGGTGCTGCGACTTCAACTTTTTTACATTTGTATAAATAACTTGAATGAAGGGTTGGAAGATAAGTTTCCAAATTTGCTGATAATACAAATATTGATAGGAAGGTAAATTGTGTAGAGGACACCAGGAGGCTGCAAAGATATATAGGTTAACTGAATGACCAAAGTTGTGCCAAATGAACTATGATTTGGGAAATGGTGAAATTTCTACTGCAATAGATAAAATAAAAAAGGAGCATACTATTTCAGCAGTGAGAGATTGCAAAAGTCTGAAATGCAGAAGGATCTTAGTGTTCTTGTGCTTGAATCACAAGAAGATTAGTATGCAATGACAGCAAGTAATTGGAAAAAAAATTATCACTAATCACAAGGGAAATTGAATACAAAAGTAGAGAGGTTATGCTTCACTTATACAGGGCAGGAATGAAGCTGCATCTGGAATATTATGCACAGTTTTTGCCTCCCTATTTAAGGACGGATATAAATGCATTGGAGACAGTTCAGAGCAGGTTTACTAGGTAAATACCGAGAACTTGCAGGTTGTCTTGTGAGATGTTCAGAAGAGGAAGAGGCAACATGCTCAAAATATCCTGAGGTCTTGACAAAGTTCCACCGTGATTGGTACTCTCTGCTACTTATTGTGTCCTAAGTCTAATCATCAGGTGCTTCATCAAAAACCTTCCCTCCATCATAAGGTAAGTCCACAATCTTCAACATCACTTGTGACGCCATATGTATTGAAGTAATTCGTATCCAAATTCCGCAAGAAAAGTTTGACAGACTATGTTCAGACATTAGTGACCAAACTAGCATTATTTTTCCAATTTCCACAATATTTGTTTTCTTATAGGAAATGTGTTAGTTTGTGGCATTTAATTAGTAGATTTCTGTTCGAAAACTGCTAGAGACTAGGTGAAGACTGACCAGAATCACTTGGAACTGTTGTCCCAGTCTGCTGTGTTCTTTGTTACACCCATTTCCTCCTCCAGTTTTAATTCTTAAAAATATAAATACTGCATTCATTAATATCTCACTCTGATTCTGAACCTTTACAGGGATCAAAACTGCAACAATTGTTGGAGGAATGGCTGCTCAGAAGCAGGAAAGGGTTTTGAACTGCAGACCTGAAATTGTGATTGCAACACCAGGGAGATTATGGGAACTGATAAAGGAGAGACACCCGCATCTCTGTCATTTGAAACAGCTCCGGTGAGCCAGAATCAATTTGAATGCGTTGCAGGGATGATTAGAAAGAATATGTGACCCACTCGTTGAGTAGTACCCATGAATCTTTCACATTACCTTGGGAGAAAAATGACAGGGATTTAGAGTAAGGTCTTAGAAATGCAAAGTTCCGTCAGTACAATGTAAAAACATCAGCCAAAATAATTCTGATGTCCTCGAGGGAGCTTGATCCCAAAATCATCTGAGTCAAAGATGAAGGCACTACAGTTTGCAGAATTTGAAGTTCTGACATACTTGATTTAAACACAGACGAGGATACTGTTGCAACACTCGCTGAAATCAAAACACGGTCAGGTAGAAAAGAAAGACCTTTTCCTAGTTGCCCTAATCTTTCTGCAGATTTTCGTAGTGATCAGAATATTTGCAAGCCATGTTAAGTTACTTCAGAGGGCAAATAAAGGGGCAACCCCTGATAAGAATTGCTAGTTCCTGTTCTAAAATGCATTGGTGAAGCTGTTAGACTTTTGTAGCAGGTCAAGTTTTGACTTCCCATTTCCAAATTATTTTTAACTAAATTCAGCTTCTTAAATTAACAAAGTGGCATCTCACATTCTGTATTCATGTTCAAGGTCCCTGGATTATTCGATCAGTAATATATACCAAATCAAGCATTCGGCACCTTTTTGAGTAGTTCTACTTTGAATGGAGTATGTATCTTAGTTTGTATGAATATCTGTTTCTGACCAAATTAAAGTCAATATTGTTTTTACGATGCTTAGAGATTTTTAGCAACTAGTTAACTGGGAAATAAAGTCCCTGATAGCTGATGTTTACTTTCAACAATGGTTAAATCTATGGATGCATGGTGGATTTGAATGTCATACAATAGATCCAATTTACAATATTATAAAAGTGAATGATTGTCTTTCTATTACTGTGATAGTTCAATATAAATGGTCATTAATGTACACAGTACACTGTTAATCTGCAAATTCTGAATAACTTGCTGTCCAATTAATTTAGGTGCCTGGTTATTGACGAAGCAGATCGGATGGTTGAAAAGGGACATTTTTCAGAGTTGTGTCAGCTACTAGAGATGCTGCATGAAAAGGAATACCATCCAAAAAGAAGAATCTTCATATTTTCTGCAACTTTAACCATGGTTCATCAGGCTCCTGCAAGAATACTGGGAAAGAAGAATGTCAAAACAATCAATACAGAAACAAAATTAGAAGCCTTGATACAAAAAGTAGGCATTAAAAGAAAACCAAAAATAATAGATTTATCCAGGAAAGAGGGTACAGTTGAGACCCTCACTGAAACCAGGATTCACTGTGAAATAGAAGAAAAAGATGTCTACCTATATTATTTCCTGCTTCAGTATCCAGGCCGAACAATGGTCTTTGCAAATAGCATAGATTGTATCAAACGTCTGAACGCACTGCTCACTATCCTAGAATGTAATCCACTGCCACTGCATGCAAACATGCATCAGAAACAGAGGTTGAAGAATTTAGAACGGTTTGCTGAAAGAGAGAGGTAAGTTTCTAAATCTAAGAAAAATTAAACCTCCCAGTACTCCTGTTAAATTCTCCTGGAGTTGCTTGAGCAGTTTTGTGTATAAGTACTGTTTACCATTAAAGTGTTGATTACTTGGAGGGAATTTCTATACATGCATATAGATAGCACTTTGCAAAGTATTTTCCTAGACAGTGGAGAATTACATCTGGGGCCAAACTATATGGATATCATCGTGACTAGCTGAATATGTACTGGATAATGGCAATGGAATAAGAGTTGTCTTGTTCAAAATAAGGCAGAAAAGGGAAATAAATTACAGTGACAATAACTTATCTTGTTTCTCAATAACAAGTTTCATACTTTTATTTTGGAATTTAATTAGAGCAAGTTTAATGGCAGGGAATTTGAATCCAGTAAGTGTAAATTTTATGTTGGGGAATATCAAAAAGCGTTGATAAGAGTCACCTTTGTTTGGCTGGTTGAAAGGTCGTGCTTTTGTTGCAAAGTTTTTTTTCAAAACTTTGATGTTCATTCTGGATGCTTTTGTTAGATTGTCATTCTTATTATATTTCAGCTGTGTTTTATTAACCACTGATGTTGCAGCTCGAGGTCTGGATATTCCAAATGTACAGCATGTTATTCATTATCAGGTGAGGCTGAAACAGTGAAATCTGAACGCTTGCTAGAGTTTCCTTTAGAATAATCTATGGTTGTGAACATTTATAAATAAATTATACGGTGAATAATATCTGAATTGTAATAAGGTTGATAATTGTATCATAGTTCTTTGTTGGTGTTTTAATAGTAACTAAGATAAAACATAAGTATGACTTGACACTTCAGTACACCAGGAAACAGGCTTGTGATTCAAATCCAAAAGCAATTTTATCCTAATTTAAGATTAATATGCCTTTTTTATAGGTTCCTCGCACCAGCGAAATATATGTCCACAGGAGTGGCAGAACAGCTCGAGCCACAAGAGCAGGTCTCGCATTGATGTTAGTTGGGCCAAATGATATGATTCACTTTAAAAAGATATGCAAAACATTGGGCAAAAATGAAAATATTCCACTTTTTCCAGTACAAGCTAAATGTATGTCTGCAATAAAGGTAAATGTCAAGACAATCTTTCTTCCAGTTTCCCATAACAGATTTGACTTATTATCAGCTTGTAGAAAATTAACCTTTGTCACAGAAAGAAAGTATGTTAACAGTGCATTTGGCATTAATGTTTTGAAAAACAGATTTATTTACTTAATTGAGGGTTGGGTAAATGTCTGAAGTAGAAGTAAATTTTGCTTGGCTAACTATATTTGGAGACTTCATTTTATTAAATAATCCGGTAACTTTTACTGTTCCAACTATAATAAAGTTCAATTTAGAACATTTCTCAAATAAACAAACACTTTGAATAGAATGACAAATTTTGGTTATAAGTGAAACAGGAGCTGCCCCAGGTAACGATTGAGAAAGATATTTGATTTATTGCAGTTGAATCAAAGTGTTCAGTAAACTCACTTGGATTTGATGTTAAAATTTTCTAATTTCAGCCTAGCAGAATAAAGAACTTGAGAGTTTTGAAGGTTAATTGAATTATATTGATCGGGTTCCCACTCAGCTCTCTTAACTTGTCCCAGGTGCATGGGAACACCTCAAAATTCCCATTGCCATCTGACTTGAAAATATTTCACTGTCTCATCATCACTGGATCAAAATCTTGAAACTGCCCATCAACACTGCAGAAATTGTAACCATACAACTGAAACCAGTCAAGAATGTTGCTCATCACTGCATTAATCTGGAAAATTAACTGTGAAAATTGTGTTAAAATACAATCAAATCCATTGTCTGTGTTGAGCTGGAGTAAACCAAATGTCATGCATGTTCTCCTTCAGGATTAAATTGTACCTGTACTGTGAAGGGTTAAGGTAAAAACAGCAAGCAGCATAAGCACGCCCCTACAGTTTGAGACAAAGAGAAGAGTTGTAATTTGGGGGTGGCTACTGTAAAAGGAGAGAGTCAGACACTGCGGGGGTTGAAGTAATCACAGCCCCTGCTGCTGACGGGCTCAGTAACGCCTACCCAAGTCCTCAAATAAATAACTGTCTAAATAACTGTAGAATCAAAAGTATTAATACTCCTTTTTTTACAAAACTGATAATTGCAGCTAAGTAAATTTGGGATGAATATTGTAAAGTGGATTTTTGGTTTAACTAATCTTGTTTCAAAGAATAGGATTTATTCTTATTTAGACTCATTAAATAGCATCCTTGGCATCCGAGGCACTGGTGCCTTAATTCCTAATTAGTTGTATTTAAATAGTGAGATATGGCAAAAATTCTCATCTGTGATGATGGGTCTCCATATTATTTTGTACTGACTTAGAATTAAGTATTACCTAGCATATTCTTCCAAGCCAAACTTGTTTAGTTTTTCTTCATCGAACATGTTTTGGCTAGCCCTAATTGTCCTCAAAGGTGGTATGAACAACCACCTTCCTAAATAGTTGCAATCTGTGTGTTGAATGTTCTCCCACTGTCTTAGAGTGGAAGTTTTGTGATTTTGATTTCCAGGTTAGAGTGACATACAGTTTAGAAGGAATCTTACCAGTAGTGGTGTTGGTAGGTGTCTACTCATCCTTTGCATCGGTTTGGGATATGGTTTTTAAAGGAACATTTTTTAAATGGTACACACGGGCACTTGTCCCTACATCAGTGAAATTAAGCAGACTTCTTTGTCTCTGGTGGTATCTTGAGCATTATTTTAGCGTGACTTGTGTAAATAAGTTGTGAGTATTTCATCCCATTCTTGATTTGTACCTTAGCAATAAACAGTAAAAAGGCTTTGGGAAGATTGTGTCACTTGATTAAAAATTCTCAACCTTTAAACTCGGCTGTAAACAGTTTGGTGGATCTGAACAGGTGATAATGAAAATAGCTTTTTCATAGTTAAGGAAGAGGCAGGTCTTTTTTTGTCTATCTTAGCTCTTTATTGTTGGGTGAAAATAAGTTTTTACACTTGATTAAGAGATTGAAAAAGCTTTAAAATTATTTAACTATGACATTTACTTCTGTTTATAAAATCAGTCTCAATTGTTAGAGATTGTTATTGTAAAATTGTTAATATTAAGGCTTTAGTAAATATTTATTGTGCACTGTTAATTTAGTGACCAGTTGTAAAAACAAGGCAGAATAAAACCACTCCTTTACCTATTCACAGGCCCGTGTCAATATAGCAAGGAGTATAGAAAAGATGGAATACCAGCACAATAAAGCACAGCAACATAACAGTTGGTTTCAGCAAGCTGCTGAAGCTCTTGAAGTTGATTTGGAGGATGATGTCCTCATGGGTAAGTATTTATAAATAGTTTAATACTTTGACCGAAAATTTGTATTAACAATAGCCAAGCTATAGATAATCTGGCAATAAGATGCGTAGTAACAAACACTAACAATTGAATCCTAAAGATGCATTATCCCCTTGCTGAACAGTATCGTATACTTTCTAGATTATTAGGTTAACACTGGATTCCCTAGACAATCAACTGGTTCAGTTACTTAGCGCTCCCCCTCCATTTTAAGCAGTTTCATAAAGTTATTGACTCAAATAATTCAAATGTATTGAAATAATTAAGAGCCCAATAATAATGCACAAACTATGAACATCAAAGAACATGTTTAACAGGAATCTAAACTGTGCACTTGATTTTAGATGGAGGCTGTAACGGTGATGAAAAGCAAAGGCAAAGGACGTTAAAAGGAATGAAGAAACAGCTGAAATATTTGCTTTTGCAACCAGTGTTTAAGGACTACCTGAAGACCAAGTACCCAACACAATTTGGTAGGCTAACATTGCCTAATTTGCCATTAGCCAGCCGAGAAACTGCTTTAAGCACTGTCAAAAAGCATAAAAATACAAAAAAGCGCAAGTTGTGTGAACAAATACAATGAAAGAATCATTCTTTTGTTAAAATAACTGATGCAACAAGCTCATACCAGTGTATAATTCAGTGGCTATATCTTTTATTGCATTTAATAAAATCCCAGAACTTGTACAGTACTGTTGTCTTCAATATGAAGATTTAAAATCTTAATCAATTGTATCCTCAAAGCACAGAGGATACAAGTTTTAAAGCATTGTAAATAAACAGCATGTCCAGAACGTGCAAGGTCTGTAAGAATTCTGATTACTAAACAAAATAAGGCCGACCAGTCTTTGTTATCTCGGAACAAGTAGTCAGTAAGATGCAGCATTTCATCCTACAGAAAATACCATCTCCTACAACTGAACGATTGTCAACAATAAATACTTCTTGAAATGCAAGAGCAGCAAAAAAGGTTTTTAAATGTTCATGAGCTTTACTTAAAAATACTTGGTAGTACAGAACTTAAAAAAACATTACTAAAAGATAAAAGCTTCTATGTTTCACAGTACTGATGAGTGCAATCCAAAAATGTGAACTGTTTTTGATGGCAAAGTGTTTATCTGGGAGAATTTGGTCCTACTATAACCATTTACTTTTCAAACATGTATTAAATGAGAATACAAACAATTGTTATAGCTCTGTATATACATTTAAGTAGAAAGTCACTTTTCACTATAGTCATCTAATACTTGCAATCCTTGCTTTTCAATTTAGACATGATCATTATTTGCTTATTCTGCATAAAGAGTCAAATGTTTCACCTGTCACAAGGGTGCTAGTGTTGATTTTTACCTACCGTAAAGTATACTTTAATTACTAGACAGAAAATAAAGTCACTGTAACGTTAAAATTTTGGACCAGGAAAGATTCAGGTCTCACCTGTGTTTGTAAGAAGGAAAAGATTTTTTTTAGTTCTGAAAGAGGAGTCTGTATCCATGAACACTTTCAGCATGGATCAAGAAATAAATCAAATGGTATACAGAAATAGTTATTAAAGGGGAAAAGGACAAAAAGCTAAACTCTACCAGGAATGTATTCTTTGCTACAAAGCTATATTGAAAGATGCCGTTATTTGTACACAATGGATTACAACCATGCTTTATAATTAGGACAACAATACTAAATTAACTCTTTCATTTTCATCGGGAATATACATTCATTTTGTATTGTGCAGAAAAATGGTTTAAAGATTGTGTTCATAAATTTATCAAAAATGAGTTCCTCTTCCCTAAGCCCTGTTTCAAGCACTAAAACTGTTCTGGTGTCACATGGCAAGCTGAAGACTATTTTGGTTTATTTGCTTTATAAAGTATGTCATAATGGCCTGGTTTGTAAAGGAGGTAAACTACAGGTTTTGCCCCTTCAGGAAAGACGTGATGGTTAACTTCAGTGTCAGTTTTGTCCATATATTCCACCTGGATTGGTAAACTCAATGCGTGGGTCAGCGCAGTGATATGAATGTGATCACTCTCCATAGCCATTGGTTCCACTTCCTACAATAGGGAAATTTGGCATTATTAATTTCATATAATGTACATTAAAGTTCTTTTACTGTTAGACTTCAAGATGTGATACATTGAGATTAGGTACAACGAGCAATGTCCACAGTCAATCCTTTTTCAGTCAGAGACCTAGCAATGTGTGTCATCTGAATAAGTACTTTTGCACAGAAATCACTTCTACGCAGAAATCACAATTTAGGAAAGAAATCAGCTGGCAGTGATCAAAGAGAAAAAAGAAAGTCTGCAATCTACATAATAGCCTATCAAGAGAGGAAGAAAAGAGCTTGCTATTTCCAACTTATTCCTCATTATCCCTCTTCCAATTTGGAAGCTGCAATACACTCTCCCTGTGTCTGTGTGGGTTTCCTCTGGGTGATCTGGTTCCCTACCACAGTACAAAGATCTGCAGGCTGGGTTAATTGGCCATGCTAAATTGCTCATAGTGTACAGGGATGTGTAGGCTAGGTAGATTAGCCATTGGAAATGCAAGGTTACAGGGATAGGGTAGGGGGTGGGTATGGGTGGATTCATTAGGCCGAATGGCCTACTTCCACATTCTAGGGATTCTACGATTTTACTATATCAGATACAGTTTAATGAGTGTCAAACATGTTTTCAGGAAATCATCACCTCTGAACAACTACTGCATAAAAACAATAGCACATGGCACCATTACCTCTCCAATTAAACTTCAGCATTGTTATTGGTACATATAGCGAGTTCTCAAATAGTGACCAGCTAATTTGTCTTTGGGAATATATGTTAAGGAAGAAACATTGGCCCTGAGAAAATTCTTCAAATAATACCTAAAGATCTTTAGTACCTAAACATACAGAATGAGGAAAAAGCATATCAAGCCCGTCCATGGGATTAGTGTGCAAATCATGCTTCACAAACCAACTCGTGAGCAAAATGAAAAGGAATTCGTCAATTTCCAGGATGACACTGGGGAAAAATCCAGTCCACTCACTGAAGCAAGATTCAGGACACCAGTTATTTTTGTCACTAGGCATGTGAGAAACTTGCCTTTCTGACAATATATCTGAACTTGCTTATGTGTAGAATAGGGAATAAAGGGAACCACCTATTTCCAATTAGCTAGCCCTAAAGATCAAAAGTTTACCAACCACCTTAAAATCAGACATTCTCCCCTCTTACTGCATGCCCAAGTAGGCCGAGTATGGAAATGTTTAAAATTAACTGTATCTAACCTGCCTCCAAGTTTAGCTTCAGTGATTGTTTTGGATTATTTGTGTATTCGTTGAAAATAGGTAAATCCTGAATAAGACTACACAGGCGGCCAGCATAAAAGGCACGAGGTGTTGAAACCGTTTATCAACTACATAGGCTTCATGGCATCCTTTCCAAGAATACCACATGCCCTTCTATTGCCTAGTAGTTGTCCACTTCACAATCTTTTTTCTTATTCCCTCTTCTGATATAATGTCAATGTGATAGTTTAATCAAAATCTAGTGACATCCAGGTATCTTTGAAATCTTACTTCTACTTTCAACTAATTCAAAAACCAATGTGAGATCAGTCTAATATTGCATACAAGTGATGGCATCTTTAATATCGCAGCACTTCTTTGGTAGTGTAGTGATGGATTAATCTTTATTAAGAGTTCAAGACTTTTACTTCCAATTCTGATAACTAATCTGTTTATTAATATTCACCAAGAAATATTTTTCTGTCCTGAGATTTTAAAGGGAAATTCACATTCAGCAGATGAACCTCATCAATATAATCAACTCGAACTCACCTGAGTGCAGAAGTCTTTAATGCTTACACCTCCCTCGAGGAAAAGCTCAAAGAACTCAGACCGTTTCTGCAAGTATGCAGACGTTAGCAGTCGAAGATATTGCACTAGGTGATCTGAAACACCGTGGTTGTTGAAAACAGCAAGGAGTTTTGAAACTGAACCATCCGTTTCCACCAGGTCAATCATATCCATAAACTAAAACCAGAGAACCCAACAGTATCAATGCTATCTGCATCAACGCATATTTTTCATAAAAAGCAACTGCAGAAGTTGCTTAGCAAAATTAGAACAGAAAATGTAGATCACTTATTTTGATCAATAGTCAAGAACAAAGTGGAGTGTTCACCAATGACAATTTTTCTCAATTAAAGGGCATAACCCTCCAAGACAAATGCAAACTAAAGCCGTACTAGCAGACTTGTATTTAAAATAATTAGATCTATGATTGATAGCTCGCACTGGAGGAAAGGGTTGCAATTCTATACACTATCTCAAATTCTGAGTATGGATTTGGAACTAATCCATTGTTAATTATTTTATACAGCTCAGTGAGAAGCACAAAACTTTCAAACGTGTCATTTCCTTCAATTCTTCTTGCATGAAATACTCACTGTGGTGAAAGAATTTTCAAATCTGCTTTCCGCAAATCCAGCAGATGAAAGTTCTTCTCGACTTTGCATTAAATTCTTTCTAAGTCTAAAACGAAAGCAAGTCAGAAATAGTGATTAGTATTTAAGCTAATGCTTGAAATATTGAGAGGATTTTCACTTATTACTATTTGTTAGAAAATTATCACACCTGCTTTGTGTGTTGGCTATTAGTATCTTCACTGTGTAAAAATCTTACAAAATTCAAAATCTTTGACTTTCAGTAATTTCTAAATTAATAGTATTCTTCCTTGCCAATTCTATTGTAACATTTTGAAATAACACAGCAAAACCCAGTATCAACATTAACAGTTGCCATACTAAGATATTACAACAACCAAAAATACTTAGATTGTGCTTTTACCATAATAAAATGCCCCATGGAGCTTCACAACGATCTGGAAAAGTCAAATGACACTAAACCACATAAAGGAGAGATTAGACCAGATCACCAATAGCTTGATCGAAGAGGAGATAGTAGGAACTGCAGATGCTGGACAATCCGAGACAACAAGGTACAGAGCTGGATGAACACAGCAGCATCATAGGAGCAGAAAGGCTGACGTTTCGGGCCAAGACCCTTCATCAGAAATGGGGGACGTGGAAGGGGGTTCTGAAATAAATAGGGAGAGAGTGGGAGGCGGAGTCGGACAGAAGATGGATAGAGAGGAGAGGATAGGTGGAGAGGAAGCAGACAGGTCGAAGAGGCGGGGATGGAGCCAGGAAAGGAGAGTGCAGGTGGAGAGTTAGGGATGGGATAGGTCAGTCCAGGGAGGACGGACAGGTCAAGGGGGCAGGATGAGGTTAGTAGGTAGGAGATGGGGGTGCGGCTTGAGGTGGGAGGAAGAACAGGTAAGGGAGGCGGGGACGAGCTGGACTGGTTTTGGGATGCGGTAGGGGGAGGGGAGATTTTGAAGCTTGTGAAATCCACATTGATACCATTGGGCTGCAGGGTTTCCAAGCGGAATATGAGTTGCTATTCCTGCAACCTTCGGGTGGCATCGTGGTACTGCAGGAGGCCCAGGATGGACATGTTGTCTGAGGAATGGGAGGGGGAGTTGAAATGGTTTGCGACTGGGAGGTGCAGTTGTTTATTGCGAACCGAGCGTAGGTGTTCTGCAAAGCGGTCCCCGAGCCTCCGCTTGGTTTCCCCGATGTAGAGGAGGCCACACCGGGTACAGCGGATGCAGTATACCACATTGGCAGATGTGCAGGTGAACATCTGCTTGATGTGGAAAGTCTTCTTAGGGCCTGGGATGGGGGTGAGGGAGGAGGTATGGGGGCATGTGTAGCACTTCCTGCGGTTGCAGGGAAAAGTGCCGGGTGTGGTGGGGCTGGAGGGGAGTGTGGAGCGGACAAGGGAGTCACGGAGAGAGGGGTCCCTCCGGAAAGCAGATAAGGGTGGGGAGGGAAAGATGTCTTTGGTGGTGGGGTCGGATTGCAGATGGCGGAAGTGTCGGAGGATGATGTGTTGGATCCGGAGGTTGGTGGGGTGGTACGTGAGGATGAGGGGGATTCTTTTTTGGTTGTTATTGCGTGGACGGGGTGTGAGGGATGAGTTGCGGGAAATGTGGGAGACACGGTCGAGGGCTTTCT